TTCTATCTAAGAAAAACCAGTTGATTGCATTGACTCATTGACTCTAATACAGTCCCTCACACTAAGCATGCTTGTAGCGACAGTGGAGAGGAAAAACTCCCTTTGAACAGGAAGAAACCTCCAGCAGAACCAGGGTCAGTGTGAGCAGCCATCTACTGAGGCCGACTGGGGTTCAAGGAGACAGAAGCAGAGACACAAAAAGCAGCTGTAAAAGGCGGCCCCGTCCAGGAAACACACAGCCAAACAGGCCGATCTCCAGCATCAATTACTAATCCCAGAGGGAAATTACTTTTGTTACACGCTCTAGTTACATTTTTTTTATATTTTTATATATATATATGTAAAACTCAAACCAAGTAAAGTGATAAATCCAAGTAAAGTGATACGTGGCGTGCAGAGAGGGGGAGCAGCGGGGCCGATAATGAAGTTACCAATAACAAAAATAGTGCATGAATGTCAATTAGGGGAGGGGGGGGGGGTCTCCCCCTGATTTAAATAAACAAGCGTCATCTTTTTCTCGCTCCCTGAACTGCGGAGTAACTTCGTAGCATGTTTAATAACTCCAAAGAGAGGTAGGAAACTGGTTTATTTCCAGAAATGGCATCTGATTTACTAGGAACCACATTAAGCACAGCCAGTGATATAAAACTAGCTACTAACCACCAGAGTTGCCTTCAATGCTGGTCGTAACTTTAGCTTCTGTCTGGAAGCATCAGAAACATAGCATTAGTTGAAATGTATGCCATGTTGTGTGCGCAGGTGTTTCTGCATGTTGGATGCATTTCCTCCCGCGGATGTTATTGCCACTTTATATCCAAACCTTCGATCGCTTTACCCGATGGGGCGCCATTTTTTTTGTATTGCTTTTCTAGACTTATGCCTGGTCACGTCGTACTTGCTTACTGAATGCCTTGTGCGTAACTTGCATAAAAAAACGTGACGTAACTTACGTAGAAAATGTGATGTAGGTCGTGCTGCCCATGGCTAGGCTCTGGTGCTGCCTGGAACCGTTAAGAGAACCGTTAAGCAAGCTGCCAAATGGTGCCATGGAATTGGAACACACAGAACTGGTTCTGAACAGGAACCGGTTTTCGATTCCCATCCCTATCAGACAGTTAGCCATATTCAACTACACTACTTTTACATTCGTTTCAAGAACGACCGTTCGTTTTCTACAAGTAAAATAACTGGTTTGTCTATAATCTCTGCAAAACTTATTTTTTAAGATGCTCCATTTGTCCTCCTCTGCCCTCAGATCTTAATAAAAAATAATAAAAAGCAGACACTTTTTTTGTCACCTTATTAAATGGCAGAGCTCCGTCTGTCTTAGAACGCAGTACTTTCCTTTAAGACTGTCAGTGATTGTTTTCTACTTTTGCTTACTTTAAATCGCCAATGAAATATAAAATAATAGCCAATATAAGTAATAATATGTTGAGACTCCAAAAGAGGGTTGATCCTTAAGAAAAGGGTTTAATACAGTTTGTACCGGGTGGATTTGCCATATATTGACGTCATGAGAAGGGGCAGGGCCCCGAGCCGATCTTGTACCTACACCGGTCCTGGGTGTTTTGGGTTGCCCCAGATCTTAGTTTAGAAGTGAAGAATGTAGGAGATGCGTGTGGAGCATACTGGTGGAAATTGCTAACTGACTTCTTGCAACTACCAGATCTGTTTCAGGCTGAATCCCAAACTGCCCCCTAAGCACTAACACTTCACTATCAGGTATCACTCCTATTGAAGTCTCACTCACAGCTGTAGAAGATGCCTTGGTTGAAGGTGGGGGGAGTATAAACAAGAATGGGACGGCTTTTTTCCCTTCAACAGAAAAGGAGAGCAGTCGTTTCTATGGCAACACAGTGTTGCTGCGTGTGCTTGCCTTTAGCTCTGCGGCGCAAGCTAACATAAAATCGAACATTTAAACTCAACTGATGCAGACTTGCTATTAAAGGCTTAACGGTCCACTCCCCCTACCCACTATGTGGTTAGTGAAGGCACTTAAGGAGGCGTACCCTCCGCAGTAATGCATATACGGAGGGTTAACGTTTAGGGGCGGTTTGGTATTGGGCCTCAGTCTCATTTTGCTCATTAATTAGCAAAACAATTAATCTTTCAATTATTTTTTTTAATTGAATAGCAGAAGGTTGCCTTTATTTAAAATAATAATTTATTAAACAAATCGTGTAAAACTAAAACTTCTCCACAAGAGAATTTCTGGATGGAAAAGATTTTTTTTTTAATCTTAAATGCAAAATATTGTATATTTCTTTTTCACAATGTTAGTATAACAGCTCCTCAAGGTGTATCGCTCTGTGAGCTTCAGACACGTTTTACAGCCTCTATACTCCACTTAACAATTAATCAGTTACTAAATTAATTGACGATTATTTCAATAATCAATTAATCACGATTAATCCAATGAATTATTTCCTCTCACTAAATTATGCCTTAATACAAAATGTTAAACTCTGAGGACAGACTTATTCAGGCTAATTGATTTCATTTTGATTAACAGCCTGTTTCTTCAGTAAATGAAGAAAGTGAGGACATGTGAACTGATGCATGAAGAAGGCAGGTTCACACTGTGAGCAATGGTGATGCGGATGAAATAATATTCCTTAAAGGCGCAGTAGGAGATCTTTTCTGACGCATTTTTACCATGTGGCTTGAAAATCTCTCCGCAGCCACTTAGGAAGCAGTGAAACAGAAGGTCTGGAAGTGAAACTAAAATAAATGGTCCCTGCTACAGTGAAAAATCAATGAATAACTCCGACCAATCACAAAAGACAGTCCGCTGTACACTATTGGTTCCTGACACATCATTCGTGGTTGTCAGCTTGTCCCACCTGTGGGCGTACCCTGACACATGAACAAATCGACCCCAATGCTCGTGCAGGACGCCATGGCTGGAAGCTAGCCACTGTTATGCTACGTTCACACCTAAAGCAACAAAAAAGATGCTGCTTTATTTTTGATGCTTTAGTTCTGATGCGTGGCTGGAGTATATTAGCTGCTCTAGTTGCGTGGTGGAATAGTGGGTCTGATGCGCGTTGGGCGGAGCTACCCTATCCTTTCTTTGCTTGTAACAATGGCCGCTATATTTGCTGGGAGCAGTGGGTAAAAAGTAGTTTGAATTTATTTTGAAGTGAGAAAGTCCACCTGAAAACATTGTCAGTGCAGTCAGTTCATCCAGGTTACCATCGTGCCTTCAAAGATTATCTCTGTGGGAGCCGCTAAGACCCCCACATACCGGCCGTGCGCTGTCACTGGGAATCCCATTCAACAGCAGCCTATGGCCCCGTCGCCTCCTCGCGGTTTGCCGCAGCGGCTGGAAGGCGGTTTTCATGTACACAATCCAAGCTGCAGGCACCAGGATAATAAAAGCGAACATGTTTTGCTGGCAGATTTCAGCATTTTAAGTTAATGAAGACGTTAATTAACTGTTTCAGAGGAGTGATCACAGCGCTCTGCATCATCAGTGCTGCTTGTCTCCCTGCCAGCTCTGAGATCAGTGACTGGCTGCTCCTGCTGCTCTAGACACGCTGCAGACAGTGTGCGCGTTCATGTGTTTTGAAGGCGTGGTTGCGAAGGGTGGACTGAAGGCAATGTTGTTTATGTCCAAAAATATAGCTTGCTGGAACAAATTTTCCAAGATCTTCTACAACACCTTTAATTAGGATGTATTAGTTGATGTATTTGCTCGCATTTAAAATCATACCAAAAATCTTCAGCTCACTTTTTCTTTTCCTATTGACACGTATCTTCACCTTCTCAGTCTCTCCTGCCAATTACTAAATTAGTCACGATTAATTCAATACATTTTTTCCTCTCACTGAATAATGCCTTCAGCCAAAAAATGCAAATGACAAAACTCTTGGTACAGCCTTATTCTGGCTAATTGATTTCATTTTAATTAACAGCCTTTTTCTTCAGTAAATGATTAATAAAAATCAGTTTTTTCTTATTATAGAAACATTTACCAAAGTACATTTTTAGAGCTACTGCATATATTGGAAGGTATAATTTTCCCCCAGTTTTATTTTAACTTTATAAAATGTCTTATTGTTCCACTCAGGAGAGACGACAGTTAAAATGAATCCAGTCGTTCAGGTTTATAACATTCTTAATATCCTTTTCCTCAGAGTTTCTGATGTTTATTTTCAGAGTAAATGTTTCTCTGTGTTTCCACATGAGACTACACTATCTAATCCTGCGCAGAGGGATTGTTTGTTCTGGACAGAGAAGTCAAAGATAAGTCTTTAGTTACGGATAAGAGCCACTGTGATTCCAGGAAGTGCTGGATATCGCCCGCCTGCTGCTGGTTGAACTGGGCCAGCACAACGACTGTGAGATCGAGGAGAAGAAATCCAAGCTGGAGCAACTCAAGACGGTGCTGGAAATGTGAGCCAAACACACACCATACCTTTATCACGCTTCTGGGAACTTTGTTGGTTTGCAGATTGCTCATCTATGGATCACCTTTCAACTCTTCATCCTTTTCACTCTCACCACCAAACACCATGGAAACGCCATCCTGTCATCTTGACTTTAACTGTCTGTTTTGTTTTTCTTCTCCTCCCCCTTTGTCCCTTTCTCCTCCGGCCTTCCCATCCGTCCTTCTCTTTCTCCACAAGGGAATCCAGCTTGAATGAGAATCAGTACGCACCCTCTCCCTTCTTTAAGGATGAGGTTTTGCCTCCCTCCTCTCCTTTTAGTTAATATAATCTGAGTGTACAAAGCATTAGGAACATTTTAAAGTTGCTTTACCAGAGACAAGTTTGGCCAAAAAGCTGTAAATGTTCAGATTCCACCCATAAAAAGGATTTTTCACATTTTTTAAAGCTTATTCATAGAATATTATGATGAAAGTAGCGAGCATTGCTAATGTTTTGTACACTTCATGTATAATTTTCTCTAAACTCCCATTTATTTTAGTCTTTTAATGATTGACTCATACACAGTCAAACGATGGTTTCACTGTGTTTCTGCGTGTGCAGATCAGTGTGGTTCACTCCTTAATGTGCATGCTGCCCTCATCACACATCAGCCGGACTCTAAATCTCCTAAAGTTGTCGTCCCCCTGTCTATCATCGGCCCCCATTCCGCTTTTATTGTCCCATTAGCCTCTTTTCCATTGCAGGGACTTTCAGTTCAGTTCAACATTAATGCCAAAGAAATAAGATGTTGCTGTGAGTTACATTAAAGGAGTTTCTTCAGTGAGTTGTTTTAGATTACGACCATCTTCTATAAATTTTTAAGCCCTCCAACAGTTCACAGTAATACATTATGATTTCCTTAATGTCACACTTTTCCTTAAAGGTCCTGTAGCTTCATTTATAAAACATTATTTAGGATCCTGATTAATAGAACCTTGGTTACGCACAAACCCAACTGTTAGCCATGAATGCTGCATGCAAAAGAGCATCACTGTCATCAGCTGTTTCTCAATTCACAAGAACGCGATTACGGACTCATGTCCTGGCCAAGTATGTTCTTGAAAATAACACAGGAAAGTGTGAACGGGAAGATGCAGCATAAATATGGGTCTGTTGGAACAGAAGCATACTTGTGACGTCACCACAAGCTCAGCTCGTCTGGAGCTGCATTTCACCTCCTATTCCAAAAAAAGAAAATGAAAAACAATCCACTGGACTTAGTTTCCAAGTTTGAAGATGTTTCGCTTCCCGTTCAGGAAGCTTTGTCAGTTCAAAATGTCAGGAATAGCGTTTAGTTCGAGGTTTTATACAGTAGCCCAACAAAGCCTTGTTTTTGTTTTGAAAACATGCAAATTGAATGGACGAACAGGTCCACCCTTTTGGAATGGGCGTCTTTTGTTAGCCTGCAATGCCCCATACCTGTCTTTGTCTCTGAAAGAAGGTCGTTAAAGGGAATAGTTGGCCTGGCTGAATAGGCGAGGTCTTCGCTCTCCTGTACAGGGGTTGGGTGCGATGATGGTGGAAAGGAATCAACTCTATCGCTGCATCGTAGTTTTTGTCAACCCCCCTCTGCTTAAAGTTATTTTTTCTTTCTTAATATAAATTGCTTCCAACAAGCCCCTCGTATACCACCTATTTTCTTTGTCCAAAATGTGAACATTCTGGTCCTCTAAAGAATGTCCTTTGTCCATAAGGTGTAGATGTACCGCAGAGTCTTCTCCCATGGAGGCTCTTCGTGTGTTTGGCCATGAGTCTGTGGAGAGGTTGTTTGGTTTCTCCAATATAAAGATTAGAGTATTCCTAGTGTTATTAATGGTCTCTAGATGTAAAAAAAAAATCTTACTTTTTTCATCTAGTGGGGGAATATTAATGAACACAGTCAGATAAACACCAATCAATTTAACAGTTTGCCAAATAAGACAATTAAAATCGCCATCAGAGCCAGTGGTACTCACAGACGGATATCCAGAGACGGGGCTGCTGCAGACGGGCTAACGTTCACCTGGCTGCTGTTAGCCTCGGAGCTCCACTGGTTGCTGCGGTCCTCTCAGAAACTTTTCTTTAAAATTACACACTAAATCAGTAAATAGGCCGTATAGTGACGCTTAAAAGTATAATGTTCTGGCCTAAAATGATCTTAAAACATATTTATATAGAACAACAGCGACAGAAAAAAGAACTTTTAACTTGAAACTCTGAGCTCTGTGAGCGCTCCAATTGAAGCTGCTGCTGCAGTGCATGCTGGGACAGCTGTCAATCGTAAAGAGGGAGGGGCGAGAACAGCATCCGGGGACTTTTTCCGCTCTCTGTCTTCCTGTTCTTGTGAATTGGAACAGTACTAGGACTGAGGCTGATTATGTTTTTCAAGTACACTAGCCCATGAGAACGCACCAGTACGCATACTGAGAAATGGCCAATGTCTATTTAAATGAGCGAACTGTTCCATTTAATTTATTGGTTACCAATGACAACGGTAGCAAAGACGGTGCCAAAAAGTGCAGCATAACTGAGGCAGAAATAGATGTGTTGGTGAGTGAGGCAGAAAGTTGAATGAATAGGATTGGTAGCCACAGTGGAGGCGAGCTGGAAGTATTCTGGATGGACGGGTTGGATTAAAGGACATCCAAGGCAGAGGTAGGTAGTAACTAGTAGCGTTTACTCAGCTACTTTTACTTCAGGAACTTTTGATAAAAATATACTGTTAGGAGTAGTTTTATTGCACAATACTTTTTACTTTTACTTCTGTAATATCTATATAAAATATCTTTACCTTTACTTGAGTAAAATGTTTTGCTACTCCAGCCATCATGAATAACTTCACTAAATAAGAAAAAATGTTGTATAAAAAGTGCTCCAGAAAAAGACAAACATTTAATGTTCATGACAAAATTTACGTTACGTTTTCGTACACGAGCTTATTGGTGGTCAAGCTAATATACACTAAAAAGTAAATATTGATTCTGGAAGAACTGGGATTATAAGTTTTATGTTTAAAAATTGGTTTGGAAAAGTGTTTCCTCTGTCTGCAATTGTAATCATTTCATTATAGTCTTAAAATGACCAGAATTCACCCATCATTTTACATTTTGTTTTGTTTTTATGAATTCATTTTGAGTATCAGATGTTATGAGCGTCTCAGTATTTAAGTAAACTTTTTTTTTTTTTTAACCAAATACGTAAAAATGTGCTGAAATAGTTAAGTTTTTGTTAGTACAATTGTTGGGTATAACACCCACCTCTGTGGTGATCTATCAGATTTATGGACCTTTCATGGAATCATCTCATTCCCAAAGGTTGGCTTCAGGAGTTAATTACGGTAATAAGTTGTTGAGTCTTTTAAAGAGCTTTAGCAGACTTTGCACTGCAAAGTCTGCTAAAGCTCAAACCATACCTAAACAGAATTTCATTTGAATAGAGAAAAAAAGAGGATGCTTGTGAAATATCTTAATCCAGATCACTGGACTGTTTCACTAAGAAATATCAACCTCTTGTCAGTCACCTTTGTTCCAGTTGTGTTGGTGACTGAAGGTCTTTATCAGAATGAGTGGAGACAAGTGAACTGATGCATAAAGAAGGCAGGTTCACGCTGGCTGACCTCGTTTGACACACTTCTACCAGCACATCATTAGTGTCATTTCTTTTTTTCACTATTTTCTCAAACACCCTCTTCACAAAATCTGAAGCTGAACTGCAAAGAAATTTCAAAGCAAAATTCTGAGCAAAGGTGGTGCAGATTAAATACTTAGTTGATGTAGTGGCTCGCATTTAAAACGCATTTATCTCTATGGCTTAGAAAATAAAATGGCTTTCTCAGATCCCTGCTCACTTACCTGACCTCTTAGCGAACAGCAAGTCGTCCTCAGTCAGCCCTGCAGAATGCAGCGTTCATTAATACCAGCTTACATTGATTTTTCCCACTAAGGTCATGTCTGGAGTTTAGCTTTAATACTGGTATTAGCCATGATGTGGATTATCTGTATGTCACATCTGAAGGCTGTTGCTTTGTTCTTTTGATGGTTTTAAGCTTGTGTTGTAAGAACCTTGGATTGGAGCCTAGATGTGTGTTTAGTGTGGTACATGAAAACAGATGAGACAGATTCAGATCTTTGCCAAGTCTTTGTTCAAACCTTTTTGGCTGTTTGCTGTTTTTTTTCAGGTATGGCCATTTCTCTGGTATCAACAGGAAGGTCCAGCTGACCTACCTCCGGAACGGCCAGCCTAAAGCCTCCAGCGAGGAAGAAGGTAGAAATTAGCAAAAGCTACATTTACTGTTGGGTTTCTGTTGGCTGTCCAATTTAATTCTACTTCAGTTCATTTAAAGCACACATCATTTCACATACTGAGACGAATTAATCAGATCATCAAATAAGATTGGTTGGAAGTTTTATATTAAAGGAAACCCAGCTGATTACGGGGAGTCTTTGACTTGCATTGTGGTGTTCGCTAGAGATAGCTGTGCCACTCTATAAGCTTGATCAAAAGTGAAGGGTTTAAGCCCAATAAAGTCAAAAATAGGATTGTCTGAATCATTTGTGTCTGTTGTGGTTAGCCTCCACTTCATTTTCAACTACAATCATTGTGTAGGAAGAACAGCTCCCTCTTCTGGATGACATTTGCATTACAACACTGAAAGAAGGTCTGCCTAAGCAGATTAATTCATTCATTAATTTTCTTCCGCTTATCCGGCGCTGGGTCGCAGAGGCAGCAGTCTAAGCAAAGAGGCCCAGACTTCCCGATCCACACACACTTCCTCCATCTGCTCTGGGGGAACCCAGAGGAGACATCAGGCCAGCTCAGAGACATGGTCCCTCCAACGTGTCCTGGACCTTCCACCTGGACGACAACACTTCACGCACAAACAGTTGCCATGCACGAACATTGAGATGTCAAACAGGAAACCAAACACCACCTAAATTGGGTGAAAATCAGCCTGCTTGTCTTTCCCTGTGAACCAGGCATGGGATATGTTCCTGCAAAACCTCTACATATTCCACTACCTCTAGATCCACTCCTACCAAATGGCCTCTTCTATGGCCATTAACCTCTTAAAACCGGTGACCTGGTGGAGTTTAAGTGGGGGTAATATCTCAGAATGCATAAAATTCCACCGGTATAATTTTTACCAGCAGATGGAGCCATTGCACGCAGCTCCAAGCTGACACCAAATGTTCCAAACCCCACAGCTCTGGAACTGCTATAGCTAGAGGTCTGACATTTCCTGCATTTGTGGTTGACATGATGTAGTACAAATATAATACAATAAAACCTGCCTTTTCTCAAGAATGTCTTTATAACTGCTGTTCAAAAAAGACCTATCATTTCCGAGAATAAAAAACAAACAACTTTGAGTCATGTTTGAACTGATGCAGGTTGGTCTGTGTTCTAGTCACCTGATTTTAATTAATATATTAGGAAACTAGAGGATGTGCAATACAAATAATGTATTGCACATGTAATTTGGGCTTACAGTTCCTAAGTTATTGGCTTTTCCATTTGGGTGAGCAAAATAGGTGAGGATTACCCAAAATGAGGTGGATGTTAAGAGGTTAAGGTCGTCATTAAAGTTAACACCAAACTGAAAATGAACGGCAAAATAGATCATTACTTGACAAAGAAAGACTTTTGGCTTATTTAAAGTAGTCCAGCTTTGATCTCTCCCAGCCTGTTGAAATATGATTCACTCAGAAACAATATCACTTCATCAAGGCAGTTTTACTGTATGAACCGACCACTGAGGACGCCATCTCTGCAGCTCTCCACCTGAGCCTGGCACACCTGGAGGAGAAGAACACCCACGTGCGGATGCTGTTCCTGGACTTCAGTTCAGCTTTCAACACCATCATCCCACAGCATCTGATGGGCAAACTGGGACAGCTGGGATTCAATACACCCCTCTGCTATTAGCTGCTAGACTTCCTCACTAACAGACCTCAGTCAGTCCGGGTCGGACAGAACACCTCTGATGTCATCATCGAAAGCACAGGCACCCCTCAGGGCTGCCTCCTGAGCCCCCTGCTGTTCATCCTGATGACACACGACTACGTCCCCAGGTTCACCACCAATCACATGGTGAAGTTTGCAGACGACACCACGGTGGTGGGCCTCATTAGTGATGACAACGACCAGAACTACAGAGAGGAGGTGGAGCAGCTGGTGGAGCAGAGATAACAGCCTGATCCTGAACATGGAGAAGATGAAGGAGATCATCGTCAATTTCAGTAAGAACCGGCCTCCTCTGCTGATCAACAACTCAGCTGTAGAGGTGGTCAACAGCACCAAATTCCTGTGGGTTCACATCACAGACACCCTCACCTGGACTGGAAACACCACCTCACTGGTCAAAAGGGCCCAGAAGCGGGCCCACCCGTTCCCCACCTTCTCCAGAAGCACCACAGAGAGCGTTCTGACCAGCTGTCTCACTGTGTGGTGTGGAGGCTGCAACGCCTCAGACTGGAAGAAGATGAGAACAGCAGAGAGGATCATGGGGGCTCCTCTTCCCTCCATTAAAGACATTTCATCTCAGCGCTGCGAGTCCCGAGCCCGTAACATCATCAATGACCCCTCACCCCCCACCATGGACTGTTCTCCCTGCTGCCCTCTGTAAAGGGGCTTCACAGCGTCCGATGCAGGTCCAGCAGGTTATGTAACAGCTTTTCCCCACTGCTATCAGACTGTTGAAAAACTCTAAATCATTTCATAAATCCAGACTCTGCATCACACTGATAACATCCTACTTGTACTACATGGTGAATCTTCAAAATAGAACTCAACTTTAATTTATTTTACTGCATTCTGCACCACATCTATTTATTTTTGCAGTGCTCTGAACCTTCCACATCAATGCCTTTTTGCACCATGTTTCTCCCACACTGTGTACATTTGATCACTGCTGCTAATTCATTGTCAGACCGCTGTATAAACAAAATGTCATTTTCTATACACTCTGTGTGTACATAACTTGTCTTAGGCTGTTAAGAAGTGTCATTTAATGCTCATTGGTTACATGGATCAGTTTTTAAAATGAAGCTTAATGCTGTTCTTTTCAGACTGTAAGAAGGACGGTCCATCTCTGCAGCTGGTGCTGAAGTGGGGCGGGGAACTGACACCTGCTGGCCGGGTCCAGGCTGAGGAGCTGGGCAGGGCCTTTCGCTGCATGTACCCCGGAGGACAAGGTAGCACAAAGATTCAGCTGTTGCCCCAGAATGTCTCTCTTCTTAAGAAGTTTAGGTCTGTGTGCTACATGTGCCCCTAAATATCACGTTTTACCTGAAGTGTTATTTCTCCGAACACATGCATTGCACACTTGGTTGTCTTAACATTAAAAAAAAGCAAAATTATTTTTAACATGTTTCATTCTTCAATATTTGCAACGGATTTAGTCAGAATCTCTAAACAACAGCAACATTGTTCTTTAACATTGCATGTTTAACAGTGGATAAACAATGTTGTATAATCTATACATACAATTCATTCAGCTTTTTTTGCATCCTACTCCTCATTGACAGCAGCAAGTTGTGTGTGTGAGTGTGCGCACAAGTTTATTTTGCATTTATTATTTATTATGCTTTCTAAACTAAGTTTATGAAAGTTTTTTTTTGCCAATTTATATAACAAAAAATCTCTTTATTGCAGCTTTGAGGTAGAAACACAATCCTGGGAAAAATTAAATAAAGAACTATTCTGTGTAGCTATACTTCATTTTCAGTTTAGATTTATTTATAGATGAATAGCTTGATAGACAGACAGACAGAAATTTTGTGCATGAGCATGTTTACGTTCTGATGCAAACATGAGAGTTGTTCTTAATTACCAGGAAATCTGAGCCGCTTGTCGCCAGCCTCTTCATGTTACCTACAGCTTATGACGGTTTGAAGAGGCGTTCCTTTGAATGAAGGTTTTATTTTGGCTCTTATTACTTCAGGAACCTTTAACTGGACAGTCTAGCTCATTTTTTGCTCAGGCTACTAATGCTTTTTGACAGTGCATGCAGAACACTGCCAGTGCTACTAAGACAACCTAAAAGTAGGCAAAATGTAGATGCAAACTCTTCTTTTGTTGCTTCCTTTTTCCCCTGAAAAGAAAGGAAACACTTTATCCCAGCTACTGTTCTCATACTTTTTCTGTTCACCATAACGTCCTGTCCATTAACTCTGCCCTTCTCTTCTTACCTGTTGTTGCTATGTTTACACTATTAGCCAGTAATCACCGATCCCGTGGCTGCGAGTCCCCTGTTGAATTTGGTAAGACCAGGGTTTCCTGGCTGTCACACTAAGAGCGTCCGTCCCTCCGTCCTCTAACATGCTCTGATTCCTTCTTACCTCATTGTGATTTTTTTTTTTTTTGTTTAATCTTACTTGGCAACTTGACGACTCCTGTTTGTTTAATATCAAGGTTGCTGTGGATTGTTTGTGCCATTGTGAATGTGCTCTTAAGGCCTTCTACCTACAGTTTTTTCCCAGTTTAGCTTTTCTGAGGGCTTGTCTACATTCAGCCCTGCATTCAAGGTTAGGACAAGTCACTAACATGTTCGAAATCCAATAGGGAATTTAAAAACGATCATCATGGAGTAATCTAAGCCACTAGCTCTAAAAGACAGTAAAATATATGAAGCATAAATGTGGTTTTAGAGATCCAGTGCCTTACAACAGTGCTTGTTCCCCTTAAACCTTTCCATATTTTGTGTTGCATTCACTTGAATGCCATTAGTAAGTTCTCTGTATAGTAAACCAGATAGTACATAAGTGTAAAGTGAAAGGAAAATGATGCACTGCTTTAAAAATGTTCTTGATAGCTTCAGATTCTGTTCTTCATTTAAGTCGGGACTCTGACTACATTATTCCAACACCTAGCTGTGCATTGCTCCATAACATCTGAAATGAGCTCTTCTTGTTATGGCTGTCATTCCCCTGGAGAGAATGTGAAGCCCAGTATCAGGTCTCTTGAGGACTGAAGCAATTTTCTTCTCCAGGGCTTCTAGAAATTTAACTCCATTTTCCCATAAACTTTGACCAGCTTTTCTGTTCCGTCCAAAGAAGGACACACCCAATGCATGATGCCATCACCCAAATTTGAGGATTGGTGGGTAGGGTTCCTGTTTTGTTTTTTATTTTTTGCCAGTCAAAGTGTTTTGTCGATGAAGACGAAGGGTATAAGAACTAAAGGGAGACAGTAAAAAAATGCCTAAAAAGGGAGAAAATAAAACCAATCAAAAAAAATAGAGAACACAGAAGGTATAAAGTAACTACTAAAGTAGTAGAAGTCTGCTTCCATACCTATGAGATGAAAAGGGAAAGAAAACATAAAAACATAACCGCAAAAGGAAACAACAGACATGTATGCGTAGGTATGCTCCTGTATGAAGGATTTACAAAGCTTATTCTGAGGGAAAATATGCTTAATAGCTGGTGCGGGTGGCGCCGGACTCACCCTACAGGGCCGAGGACCTTTAAAGAGGTGATCCTAGCTCCAGATGTTCAGAGGAACCCTAGATCACTGGCACACAAGGAGGGAAGACATAGGAATGACCGCATACACCAGGGAAGGGCAGAGGAGAGCACGCGGAGCTCAACCCCTGAGGGACCAAATCCCAATGGGGCCCAGTCCTTGAGGGGCCCTACCCAGTAGGCCAAGGGACCATGGTAGTGAGCCAATGGGCTACGCTGGCGGCCGGTCACACCATTGGTGCACCGGGATGAGAGCCTAGGAGTCAAGGGGTCGGAGGGACATGAGGATGAAAAAGAGCGAGGATCCAGTTGGAAATGGTCCCAGCCTTATTGCGCACCTCGCTCTTCTAGATGGTCCATCTTTAAGAGTCGTTTTCCACAATGGCGGTTATACAATCAAAACAAGCCAGTGAAGTACCATACAGGAAATGCGCATAGTGTAGAGCGGATGTAGATTTGACCACTCGGATGCCTCCTGTCTGCGGCACTGTCTTCGGTCACCTACAATTTTGGAAAGGTTCACCAGAGTGTCTGGGTAAGGGGCAGGGGGCACATTTGCGTTCACTTGGACACACACGCAGACGCCCTGGTTTCTGAATATAAATCAGCCTTTAGTGTCTAAATGTATTCCAGCAACCACAGGTGAGCTTTGAAAGCAAAGCAAGAAAGGCTGACCCACCTCCCCTACCCAAAGTATGCCCAACCTTATGCCCTACCTATGCATGTCTCGCAACTGTTATAAATGATGCTGACTAGGATATTCATTAAAATTGGGGAATAGGCCACCACCAGCATGGGAGGACCCACCCTGGTGATGATCTCTTCCCTAAGAGCCTATGTCTAGTGTGTACTAGTCTAGCACAGCACCCTTCTCCAGTGTCCCTCCACCCCCTTACTGACAGTGTGTACCCTCTAGGGGAGAGCACCAGGATGATGTAGAAAGGAACATCAATGTCAGCTGGGGCTCTGAAGGACCCCAGAGCAGGCTAGGCACTATAGCAGGCGCCAGTCCACAAAAAACAGGTGGCACATTGGTCTTGAACCTAACCCCCAACCCAAAGCAGGGATCCCAACCTAGGGCAGGCCACCTCATGGACCCCAGATCCACCCCAGATCAACCCCGACATGACACAACCGCCAGGCCAGTAACCCATGTGCGCCGATGCAGATCCCAGAAAACCATTCACCCAGCCTCCAGAAGTCCTAACCTGGGCCTCCCAATGGCCCCTCTAGCAGGAGCGACCCGGCCCACATCTAACACAAGTGACCCTCTTTGGGAAGCCCCAGACCTAGACAGTCCAGACATGCGTCCAATCAGCCCCAGTGCCACACGGGATCGAGCCACAGGCCAGAAAACTCCTAGTAGGAAATGTGGCCAATCAAAGGTGTCCAGAGAGATTGATTTAGTAATGATGCAACAGCTATCTCTAGATTAATATAATTTTACAGAATTTCTCTGTACTGGTTAATATTTGCACTGTTTTTATTTTCACAGTTCATGAGGATATATTTTTTTGGCGATACATAAGGCAGTGAAGATAGAATGAAGGGAATTGCTGTCCAAGGTGACTGAGAGAGAGGGTGAAATATTTTATCTCAAACACCGATAACACATTTAAAGTGGTACAAGGGATGTGTAAATGCCCTTTCTGCTTTGGTCCAATGTCCACAGATAATAGTAATTTCCATTACAGCTATTATTGAAAACGTGCCTGTGCCCTGACATCTGTTTTTTTGGATTTGAAAGTACTTTATTGTAGTTAAACATTTACTGCCTTGTGTAACATGGTTTCTATTGTTTATGCTGCTGCAAACGAGAGTTGCCAAATCTACTAGAGCCATAAAGAGCCTGAAGTTAAATAATAACTGCAGTCCAGGCAAGTTTTTCGAACAATATTGCCTACAGTCTTATTGTGATGAAGATAAATTCAGCCACCAGTTAAAATTTTAGTCTCTACTAATGAGAACCTCTTCTTTTGCATCTTTTCCCCCAAATGTCTTGTGGCAAATTGAAAAAGGGGACTGCTTTGGCCTTCTTTTCTACAAAGTTGTATGAAGACTAGTATAAAGACCAGTTTTATGGAGTGTACCATATACGCCATAATAACTATTGTCTTTACAGTAGTAGGTCACGTCTGAGTGAACAAGATGATTTGTATCGGTGCTCTTCTTCTTCTGCTTGTATGGGACAGGAGGGCAGGCATCTGTCCGGGGAGATGTCCAGTATCCCTCTCCCCAGACACCACCTCTATCTACCCCCCATGACAAAAGCCTGAGGTATTTCATGTCCAGTCTAGAGGAAAAAGTCCCTCCAGCTTGTCCTAGGCTGTCCCCTTGGCCTCCTTCTGGTGGGACGTGCCTGAAACATCTACAAAAGGAGATGACCAGGTGTAATCTGAAACAGATGCCAGAGTCACCTGAGCTGACACAAAGGGAGTGCCCAGCCAAATCTGTTTGTCCTCAAACCAAACACCCGTCGACCCTTTGGCTGCATCTAGAAATACCATCCATGAAAGTTATTTGCATGACCGGTGGCAGAGAGGAACCCTGCCAGGGTCCAGCACGGACTGGAAACAGGTCTGACTTGGCGCTTACAATGCAGAGCAGACTTTTGCTTTCCTTATACAGAGGCTAGATACAGCGAGTGACACAACTATTGAACACACCACCATTTTTCTCAGGAAATATATTTTTCTAGGAGGGTGCCTCAGAATTACTGTCTCTGACCAGTTATAGGAGCTACAGGTTATTTTTCTCAGTAAATATATTGGTAGAGGTGCTTTTCACATTAAATTTTTACCAGGTGTCGGTAACATCGGCAGGTTTCTTGGCTTTCCATACCTGTTTGCACCTCCCTTTCTTCACATGTTCAATACTCTTGCCCTGTGCTTTTCCACTTTATTACACATAACTTAATTCCTGGACATCTATGATTTGATTTTTTTGTATGTATGGATTGCATGGGTTGTTACTGAAATCTGATGAAAATTTCATGTCAGTAGCATCTCTACAAATATATTTACTGAGAAAAAAAAACTGTAGCTCCTATAATGGGTCAGTGACAGTACTTCTGAAGCACCCATCCTAAAGATTATACACAAGCTGACCAACCCTTGCCCTTCACCTCAACTTACAAGCAACTCCAGGGTAAAAGAGAGTCTAGCCTCCCTGAAGGATCTGGGTTCCAGAGCCCAGACCGTGCATTGAGGTGACAATCCTTCTCCCCATAGCCAGGTTATGTCTCTGGTAATCATGTTTGTGAGGCTTCCAATGAATGCTGAATGATTCTCTTAGCACCAGTCCCTTATGGATCCCTCTGCTGGCAGAGGGCTTGCATCACTCATTTGGATTTGGCCTGACCAAGAACTGGCAAGATTAACCCAACCACAAAGAAACTATAAGGCCTGGCTTTGCTATACCCCATTACATTGACAGGCTAGTGTGTGTTTAATCTGCTCTGTTTTGGGCCCAACACACCAGCGGCTTAGACTTATTCATGCATTCCTTTGACATCTTAAGCCCAAAATACAATTTGGTCCTATCTTACCTCACAGGCCTTATGGTGACTTCTAAAGGCATTTGATAGCACTGGTTTTAACTATTCTATCAAGCTCTTCAAAGTAAAGGTGTCATTTTCCTTCCATGTTACAGTTATGAAGCTATATTGGACTATCTAACAAAATGAAATAAAGTCAGAGATGATGAGATTTTGGCAAAGCACTGTAGTAAATTGATTTACGTTATGCATGATAAGTTTTCTTAGCACAAGAATGAATGTAAAACTATTGATGTAATGTGCAGATGAGAGCGAGTACTCAGTGTTTAGTCACTTTCATTTCATTTTTGTGTGGGGTTCAAACCTCACAATTTCTCTTTAGATAAAATAAGCTTTGTTAGAAATATTGGAATTAGTTAAAGAATTTTGTATTTGAACTGAAAGTGATGCTCTACCCGCTCAGTTGTCGAATGTTTAATATTATTGGGGAAATCTTTGGTATTTTACGGTGAAATCAACACTTCATCGTTTTTTCTCGCCTTCCAAAATTTCTTTGCTGATTAAGCCCTCCCTTTTGAAAAATGTCTTACTTTACGTCTGAATGCTGCGAACAAGACAGGTAGTGGTCTAATTTGTGCACATTCTTTCAGGTGACTTTGCAGGGTTTCCTGGCTGTGGCTTGCTGAGGCTGCACAGCACCTACCGCCATGATCTAAAGATTTATGCCTCAGACGAAGGCAGGGTCCAGATGACTGCTGCGGCTTTTGCAAAGGTAGGTGGTTATGAAGGAAAATACATTATGTTCACTAACCAAAGGTTCTACATTAAGCTTCTAGAATGTAATGGAAAAGCAAAGGCTTGTAAACCAATTACTTTCAATAATGTTTATTTCTGCATAGATGAGTGGTCAAATATCTGAGCATAATTAGGCCACAATCTCTGATTGCTACAAAGATGAAGAAATTTTCATTACAAATCTTTAAGAAATTACAGACAAGATGTTGAAGGAATGCACAGACATGTCTAAGCCTCTTGGTAAGACTCTTATACTCTTGTCTAAGATTATCCTCCATCTTCTATAACTAACAAAACAGAGAGTCAAGAAATGCAACATCTGCTAAAATGGTTAAATATTTAAGCAATTTTTCTACTTTAAATCAAATTTCTGAGAGAATAACACTGGAAGCCACTAAAGGGCCTCGTGGACCTGATGGCTATCAGCAGATCTGCTAAAAACTGAAATGTACAAAAACAGAGTAGTAGCAAACGGTTTGGTTCTGCTCAGTTTCACCTGCTATTGGTCAGAAAGACTTCAGCCTCAATAGTGACCCGTCTGTTCTTCCACACTTTTATTTCCATCCAATAGTTTTTCCGTTTTCCTTAATTCTAAATTGCCATTTCTAAAAATTGATTTGACTCTGTTTCTTGGAGGCTGAATTAAGCCATTTAAAGCCAACATTTTCTACTCAATTCAATTCAGTTTATTCATATAGCACCAATTCACAACACGTCATCTCAAGGCACTTTACAATTCAACCAGATCATCCAGTCAGATTGATTCAAAGTTTTCTATCTAAGAAAAACCAGTTGATTGCATTGACTCATTGACTCAAAGGGTGGAGACACAGCCAAACAGGAACAGACGAGGCAAAGCTACTATGAGAAAAAGCAGAGAGAGCAGAACGTTAGAGATTGAAGTAACAGATTCTGTAGAGTGGTAGAATAGAGAGAGAATGAAGCAGAATGATGAAAAAGGGGTCCCTATGTCCTCCAGCAGGCTACACCTATAGCAGCATAACTATAGAGATAGCTCAGGATAACCTGAGCCACTCTAACTATAAGCTTTATCAAAAAGGAAAGTTTTAAGCCTAGCCTTAAAAGTAGACAGGGTGTCTGCCTCACGGACTAAAACTGGTAGTTGGTTCCACAGGAGAGGAGCCTGATAACTAAAAGATCTGCCTCCCATTCTACTTTTAGAAATTCTAGGAACCACTAGTAAACCTGGAGATTGAGAGTGAAGTGCTCTGTTAGGAACATAAGGAACAATCAGATCTCTGATATCAGATGGAGCTTGGCCATTTAAGGCTATGTGAGAAGGAGGATTTTAAATTCTATTCTGGATTTAACAGGAAGCCAATGAAGAGAAGCCAGGATAGGAGAGATATGATCTCTCTTTTTCATTTTCATGAGAACTCTGGCTGCAGCATTTTGGATCAGCTGAAGGCTTTTAACTACAGTTTGTGGACTTCCTGATGGTAAAGAATTACAATAGTCCAGCCTTGAAGTAACAAATGCATGGACTAGTTTCTCAGCATCACCCCTGGACAGGAGATTTCTAATTTTTGCAATATTCCTCAGATGAAGGAAGGAAATTCTAGAAACCTCTATGATATGGGATTTAAATGACAGGTCCTGATCAAAGATAACACCAAGATCTTTTATTTTATTATCTGAAATCAGTTTAATCCCATCCAAATGAAGTGACTGGCTAATCAGCTTCTTTTTCAAAGACTCTGGTCCAAAGACTATAACTTCTGTTTTGTTTGCTTTCAGGAGCTTGCAAACCTTCCTGATGCTCCAGGTAACCTTTGAGCATGAGGAAGATTTCTTATTAACGTGAACAACCTGAATTCGATCAGATAGATCAGATCTAAACCAGTCTAGTGCTGTTCCTTTAATTCCTACAAAGTATTCAAGTCTTTCTAAAATAATATTATGGTCAACTGTATCGAATGCAGCACTGAGATCCAACAGGACGAGCACAGATACAAGTCCATTATCTGAGGCCATGAGAATATCATTACTGACTTTCACCAGAGCTGTTTCAGTGCTATGATTAGCTCTAAAGCCAGACTCTTCAGCCTCAGCTGTTCAGAGAGTTAATGGTAAATGATTTGTCTATGCAAACCTAACCCTCTGCTCTTTATTTATTCGTCTTTGTTTTTGGTCCAGGGCCTGCTGGCTCTGGAGGGGGAACTGACACCAATCCTGGTGCAGATGGTGAAGAGTGCCAATATGAATGGACTCCTGGACAGTGACAGCGACTCGCTGACCGACTGCCAGCAGAAGGTGAAGGCCAGGCTGCATGAGATCATGCAGAGTGACCATGAGTTTACACAAGAGGACTATCAGAAGGTATTTGTCCAATAATGGTTGAGAAAATTGAGATAGCCCCATTTTTTTTAATGATTCTATGTTTCTGTTGTGGTCCAGTTGGCCCCAACTGGCAGTCCCTCACTGGTGAATTCCATGAAGGTGATAGAGAATCCAGTCAAAACCTGCGACAAGGTCTATGCGCTCATTCAGAGCCTCACTTCGCAGATTCGGAAGAGACTGGAGGACCCCAAGTCTGCAGGTAAGCACATCAGAAGGCTGCCCTTATGCTACATTCACACCAAGTCTAATAAGGTCTCCACACAAGCTTAATTGGAAAGATGAAACCGCCCGAAGCCAACAAAGCTTTAATAAGCACTGTCATGTGGGTAAAAAACGTAGTAGAAGGAAGAGAGAAGCAGGAAACAAACAATGAACACAAAACTGAAGATTCTCAGTCATCCAGCTCATAGTTGAGCTTAAAGGTTCAGTTTAGGCAACTAGACTTGAAGTTTTGTAAAAGTTTTCTTTTGTTCCAACTACAGCAGATTAATAATAAGCAAAGACTGTTCATATCTAACTGTCCAACTTTACACTAGAAGCTAAATTTAAGAAATAGTGTCAGTGAAATTAACAGCTAATTTCACTTATTTTGACTAAATTTTCGCATTAGATGATTTTGCACCTTCTAGACACTAGTGTTTTGCAACCTAGAAATTGCTAACTTTGAGTGTTCACTAAGTTTTACACTTTTCCTGATGATGATAAATTACACAAATCAAACACCGGGAGCAGAGTTTAAAATGTGATCTTTGTCATTTTTTATTGACATTTGAAAGGATAAGACATGAAACCATCTTGTTTTAAGAGTGTCCTTAAAAAATGAATACTTTTTTTTCTGTAAGAAACTATTCTGCGTTACAGTAAAGAACCTTTTCCTTCAGATTTACAGCTTTACCACAGCGAGACGTTGGAGTTGATGTTGCAGCGCTGGTCCAAACTGGAGAGGGACTTCCGCATGAAGAATGGACGCTACGACATCAGTAAGATCCCTGACATCTACGACTGCATCAAGTACGACTCCCAACACAACGCCTCCGTCGGGCTGGAGGACACGCTGGAGCTCTTCAGACTCTCCCGCGCCCTGGCCGACATAGTCATCCCACAGGTACGTCAATTTCCTGTTGGGTTTTGTCCAAAACTTTTTTTTTCTTCTATTAGATAAAAAAAAAAAAACAACACAACAGAATATGTATATTTGCATCTTTGTGGTCGTTTGTGACTTTCCCTCTCAGGAGTACGGCATCAGTAAAGCAGAGAAGCTGGACATTGCCCAGGCGTACTGTGTTCCTCTGATGAAGAAAATCTACCTGGACCTGCAGAGAACCCATGAAGACGAGGCTGTGAACAAGCTGCACCCTCTGTGAGCATATCACCCCCTTACGGCAGGAAACTGTGCTCAATATAGCCTCACGTTACATTATGGGTTTATTATACTTGTAAACCGTTTCATATTTCTTTCATACTTTTTGTGAAGGTAAAAAGAGTTTCTATGACATGGGAAATAAATCCTATGACTGTATTTGTCAGAGGCTGCTGGCAACGAACAGTCCCCATCATCATTTCACAGGGTTTCCATGGGTCATTAATACTCATTCAATTATAATTTTTTTAATTAAGTCTTAATTGGTATTAAAATTCATTAAATGTGATTATTGTGGCATTTAAAATGCTTTATAAAAAGAAAAAACATTTATGAAAACAATTTTGTCAGATATATTTTATCAGATATAATTTGCACCGAACTG